GGAAGTCACAGCTCGATACTGCAGCCAGGAGCTGGATCAGTATGGCCAGTGTGTGGCCGCCAAGCCAGAGTCCTGGCATCGGGACTGTCACCACCTTAAGATGAGCATTGCTCGCAGCACATCCTCCCACCCCATCATCCGCCAGATCCGCCAGGCCTGTGCTGAACCCTTCGAAGCCTTTGAGGAGTGTCTTCGCTTGAATGAGGCGGCAGTTGGCAACTGTGCGGGACACATGCGCCGCTTCCTACAGTGCGCTGAGCAGGTGCAGCCGCCAAGTTCGCCCACACCTGGAAAGACACAGCCTCTTCCTGCCTCCTGAAGACCCCCATGGACCCTGAGGAAACTGGACACGACTGACTCCACTTGACGTCCTCATCTAGAAGAGGGACATTTTGGAGTCCTGAGGGCTCTGGTGTGGGTCTGGCCTACCTGGACTCCGGAACTCTAAATAAATAAAGACTGAGTAAAAAAAAAAAAAATTATCCCTGAACTCCAGGAGGTACACACAGGTTACCTGTGATCCAGAACAGACCCGAGAACCAGTTACCTGTATGGTTTGCACAGACACGACCACGGTAAGGGACAGAGTACACCGGACATGCATAATGAAAGGGCTACATATATAATTCATCATATTTAGAATCTTGCTCCTTCGATACTATGCGATGGCTACCATCCAAATTAGGGGCTGGGGGTTGAGTTCGGTTGGTAGAGTGTCTGTCTAGCAAGCACAATGCCCTGGGTTCAATTCCCAGCACTGTATTCACCTAGCATGGTGGCACAGGCCTCTAAGGCTAACACTGGGAAAGAGGCAACCTGGAGGGTCAGGAGTTCAAGGTCATCCTCCAGCAACTAAGGAATTGGAATTTGAGCCGGACCAGTCTGAGATATGTGATTCTGTCTCCAGGAATCAATGAATCAATGAATCTTGCTGGAGAGGCTAAAACACCTGAAGAACCTAGCACTAAGTTCCTAGAACTTAATGTCCGGCCTGTTTTCTTTAATGCACTCCTAGGAATAATGCCTAACATTCTCACGAAATCCAACTGACACACAAAATCCCAGCGCCCCTTAAAGCACAGCGGCAGATGCTTGAGGCCAAAGCCCAGGTCTCTTCTTGTCAGCCAGTGTTCGGGACACACCGGCCGGGAGAAAACCACACGGAGCTTGAGTGGGAACTGCCTACCTCCCTCGCAAGTTCAAAAGCAGCTCTGGCCTGGCCAGTTTCCAATTTCAGCAATTCTCCTCCAGATGTCGTCTACACAGAATGAAAAGAATCCTAGAAGAGGAAGTTGGCTTTTCAGACACTTGTGTCGCTCCAACAACAGCAAAATGGCAGGCACCACAGGTACAAACGCCACTGAGAAAGCTCAGAGCAGTGTAGACAAGAGACTCCCAGGAGTGGCACACCAGTTAACCAGCCTCTAGAACCCCTCCATACCCAGCACACTCGGCTCTCGGAGAAGACCAGCAGCAACCAGAATCTGAGAATTGCTGCTACAACCCCATGTGTGGCAACCACTGTTTCAGAAAAAACGTAGCTGTCCACTTTTTTCCCTGACAGGATTACAAGATGGAACCAAAATCCCAAAAGCTTGATAAGGTAACAGAAGGTTCAACTCAGCCTCTCAAGAGGAGGGAAAAAAAATGTTGCCCATGCGTACAAACCCAGCAGCCCCGGCAACAAATCCCTGAGAATTTTGACTATGACACCAGTCTGTGGTAGTTGCAGCTTTAAAAAAAAAAAAAAAAAAAGAAAAGAAAAAGAAAACAAAATCAGAAAGGCAGCTAGCAAGACAGTTTAAGTGACAATGAAGCCTATGCATAGTAGGTTTTGGGGCAGCTTTCCTATGCTCCTTGTGGGCCACTCCCTCTCAATTACCATACTGGAGTCCAGGCTCCTCAGGGTGGAGCTGGCGAGAGTGTAGGATCACTTGGGGGCTACTTTAGTTGTCAAATTGGTCCAAAGGAGACATTATTCTGTCCCGTGAAAGGAACAGATCAAGAGCAAGGCGGTCAATGAAACCTCTGGAATAACCAAACAGAACCCTTCACGTGGGGAGGCCCCTGTTCCTTGGGATTTTTAAACTAGCTCTTATGGAATATAAGAATTTGCTAAAGGAGCCAGATTGGGCCTCAGAACCTGAGTTCTGTAACACTCCACTTACCTAACATTAACCTGCCCGCAAGCCATCAACCGTCCTCAAAGTTTTCTGTCTCCTGATTAGGGTTTGCACAGACCCTAGGTGCTCCAGATCTCCGCAGAGCCACTGCCTAACGAATGATCCCTCGCACATCAGAAACTACTTCCCTTGCCTGGCCTAGTGGCGCAGGCCTTTAACCCCAGCACTCAGCAGGCAGAGACAGGCGGAGGTGGGTCTCTGACTTCGATGGTCAGCCTGGTCTACAAGAGTGAGTTCCAGGACAGTCAGTCAGGGGTACACAGAGAAAGCCTGCCTCAAAAAAAAAAAAAAAAAACAACAACAATAAAACAAAACCACCTCCCTCTATTCAGAATTGTAACTTCACTTCGGCTACCACCACCACACTCGCACTCACTGCAGAAGAGAAGCAGTGTCAACTTTGGCACTAGCTCTGTGTGTGTGTGTGTGTGTGTGTGTGTGTGTGTGTGTGTGTGTGTGTGTGTGTAAGTGTGCACGTGTCTACAAGAACTTGTGTAGAAGCCAGCGGTCTGCATACTCCATTTCTTCCCACTTCGGGCTTCGAGATAGGGTCTCTCATAGAAGCTGGGGCCCATGTCTAGCTTGGCTGGCCTGTAAGCCGCAGGGATCTTCCCGTCTCCCCTTCTCCAGCACTGAGGCTAAAAACACAGCTTTCGTGAAGGTTTTGGGGATCTGAACTTGGTTCCCAACACCATGCTTCGGCACCGCCGAGGTCACGGACAACGTCGTTCTTTAGTCTAGGAGCACAGCCCTGTGCATTCAGGCTTGTCTGTTGTTTTACAGTATTTATTCAGGGGGAGGGTATGTATCAAACAACTCGTGGAAGTCAGGCTCCTTTCACCCCAGCCTCCAGGGATAAAACAGCCTTCCCTGCAGACCGATCTCCAGGGCCCTCAAGGCTGTTTTAAAATGCCCGTCTACCCACCTGAAGCCAGTAGCACCTGTCCCAGGGCTATGAGAAACACACATTCTCCACATATTGCCAACAGCCTGCGATGAGGCTGAACAGTCCAGGGGAGAACGTCAGGTTTATTTGCTGGCTCGCTGGTAGCTAACTTTCCCACTAACTAGGTTAGTGTTTTCTATTTACGTCTCAAAAGTCCCACTGAAGTACACCCCGAGTCCTTTCTCTGCGACAACCACACCCCTGTCTACTGTCACACTGCCCATTCTGGTCTCTACCCATCCTGACACACACATTGTCACCCTGAACTATTGGACTTCTGCATGTTTATCTGCTCTCATGCTCACAGTGATCCCCCCTCCTTCCAGCTCTCCCAGGAGCCACTCTTTCTACCCGTACTCAATACTACCGGTGTTTCTCAGGTCAAACACCAAGTCTTTCAAATTAGCACTTGAAGGACGAACATGTGCGGCCTTCTGTGTCGGTGTCTGTAATCCCAGCACCAGGAAAAGGCCGACCTGGACTACAGTGTGAGACCCTTGTCGTGGCAAAAACAAAACAAAAAGAACAAAGATGATCATAAACACAAAGATGCGTAAGGCTTTTAGCCTTACGGTCTGAGCCAATTTACCTACAACTTGCCCACAATACCGGGAAAGTTCAATTTCCAAATCAGAGAGCTCCTAAAACAATTTAACTATTGGGACAAGTCAATCACATCAGATTGTTGTAAAATTAAAAAAATTTAAGAACCGTCAGAAAACTTCATAGACTATATAACTTAATGGGGGGGGGGTGACACTTGTTGACCAAGGCTTTTCAATGGAAAAAGCAGGCAAAGAAAGCTGCAGCCATGGCTCAACACTCTTGCATCAGAAGCCTGTGCTCAGAGGAGAGGAGAGGGAGAGGACCCTGGGTCATCTGAGGACAGCTCACTCTGCCCTTAGCCTGTTAGGCTTCAGTCAACAAAGTTTACACACCTTCAATAAAAACTAGAGGAATCTGAGATAGAATCTCTGAGTGGGAAGAGCTGGGAGGGAACTCTCCATTTTGGAATCGTGTCCAGCACTGTGGGCTACTTCGTCCTTTTATGGAGGGCTCCCTAAACAATTGGCAAGAAGTCAACACTCCCGTATCCACCTCATTTCAGTCTTCAACTCTTTCATGACGAGATGCTGGATTTTAACTTCAGTTGAAGTCTGCACAGTCCCGGCCCTGACCTAACAGATAACATACCCGCTCAGTGTTCACGGGCTGTAAAAACAGATGGTGTCTGCAGACCTAACATAGGTGCTTACAAGGCAGGGTGACTCCTCCGAGTCTATGACAGCCTAAGGTGCCAGCAGCTCTGGGGAGGAAGGTCTGAACCGTGTTTTCCTTGGCGTACGGATGGGCCCGGACTATTTATTAAGTAAACAACCCTCACCCATACTGCAGACGGGAATTCCCTGCTTGTTCGGGCCTCTGAGTCCTACACTCAGGCACTGCGTGTGTACTAGGTGCTCAGTAAACGCTGCTAGGGTGGGGTTTTATTATTTCAACTGCCAAGGAAAGTTCCCAGGAGTCAGCTCTTCTACAGCTCTTCCAAAACCACATCTTCGCAGCTGTCTTGTCCAATACAAAAAAAAAAAAAAAAAAAAAAAAAAAAAAAAAAAAGCTTTTCAAAGTCAAGTTGAAGAAAATCTTGGGAGGAAACGCAAATCAAATAGGAGCCCCAAGAGTCTCAAGGTGGGGCTCCAGTTCGGCTAGGATGACCAGTACTTGGTCTCTTTGCCTTCTTCCTTCCTGCGCCCATCTCTTCCCTTGCTTTTCCTTCCGGCAATCCTACGTCCCCACTTTCAGCCACACACAAACCCTAGTTGCGTGGGAACCGCTGAGACACTACACCCCAACCCTCTCCAGAGGGGACCTACCTCTCCTCCCCTCGACCCGAAGCAGCTCTCCTTCACTGCAGACGGCTTAAAAAAGGAAAAAAGAAAAATCAAAGAGCAACAACAACAAAAATCTCATTTCCTTATCTGTTGGGGATACCCCACACGAAGGGGGAAAGGAAGAGGGGGGCGCCCATCGACCCTCCAGTAACTGGAGGCGACAGTCCTCTGCGCAGGCACCCACTTTTCCTCTTGTCCAAGCCCCTAAACCAGAATCAAGCAGAAGTCCGGTTCCCAAGAGCCCACGCTTCTAAACAAGCTAGAAGCGGATTATACCGGTACCCAACCCGGAGATGGCCCGCGGCGTGCAGGGTGCACCTGCGGCCCCAGTGCCCTCCCTCCGGGCGCCGGGGGCGGGGCGCAGGGCCTCCCCCTCCCCAGCCCGCGGGCTCCCTGCGCGGCCCACCCGGAGCGGGACGGAGGCGGATGGGGAGGCGTTTCTGGAGAAGTTCAAGGGCTTCTCTTGCCGGCACCCGGCCAACCAGGCCAGACAGCAGACAACCACCTCCGGGAGGGCTCGGAGCCGCCGCGATGGGCAATCTCCGCCCCTACGATCGCGCGCACGGAGGCCGAGGCGGGAGCGCGGCAGCCGGCAGCCGGCCCGCGCAGGGCCCGAAGCGGAACAATGTCCCGGCGCTGGGTGGGGGCCTGGTCGCGCAGCCCGCCCCGGGGTTCTGAAGCCCTCTTGGGTCCCCGATCGCGACCCCGGAGGCAGCCTGGGCTCCACCGCGGCACGGGGCGCGGAGAAGCAGGACGCCTGCGTGCCCCGGGGCCGTTCCACCTGCTCCCTCCCTGCCCGGGTGGCCCGACGCGCACCCACCTTCGCGGGCAGCCCTGGCCGCGCGCGCCGGAGCTTAGGCGGAGGCGGGAGGCGGCGGCATCACCTGCGGCGGGCGGCGGCTGCACCGGGACGCGCCCCGGAGGCGCGCGGCGCCCTGGACCCTGAGCCCGCGGCCCCGCCCGCGGCTGCCACCTCGAAGCGCGGCGGAGGAGCCGGGGCACCCCGGGCGGCGGCAGCGGCGGCGGCGGGAGCAGCAGCACATGACTCTGTAACGAGGGGAATTAGACAAAGCGTAACATGGACTCCGGGCCCGTGCAGGCGCCGCAGCTCTGGGACCAACCGCAGTCTGCGAGCGCCGCGACTGGCCGGGTCGCAGCCAATGGGGCGGGCCCGGGCCTCCATGTGATTGCCTGCGCTATGCCCGCGCGCCCCGCCGCGCCCGCCTAGGGGTCCGGCCGGCTGGTCCCAGGTGCCGGGTGGTGGGGAGGTGGCCGGGATCCCGGACTGGCTGCTAGCCGCTCAGCAGGTGCACCGGGAAGAGAAGAATGGCTGCCGAACGTCGCCCGAGGCGCAGTTCTTATCTAACCCCAACGCGCACCTGGGCAAGGCATGGTGCCAAGCTGTCTGTTCTCTGTAGAAACGGGCTGGACGGGGCAGCTTCGTCGGTCCTACAATTTTAGGATGTTATTCTGACCACTAAAAATCGATCATTTGGAGATTGGGAGAGTTGGGGGCGGAGGGCATTAAAAGTCTTCTAGTGCCTTCAAACTCGAAGGAGAAAGCAATTGCCTGGGATTTGGGTAGCTTGCAACTGAATGTCTGAGCGAACAGCTGCTCAGCTTCTCCAAGCTACTTCTAGTATTAAAGCAGTTTCTCGCCGATTTTGTTTTCAGCTGTCTCTGGACCTCCCTCACCAGGTTCCTTTTCACCAAAAAACTCGTGCATATGAAACAGGCACTTCGGAAGTCGTTGTTAAAAGTTTACCAACTTTATCGCTTTCCCGTGTGTCTTTGCTGCTGTGCGGTAGAAGTTTTCTTGGTCTATTTTTCCTCCATAGAGAGGCAGAGGCCAAGACACCGAGTCAGGCGGGCTAATTATTTTGGTTCAATCAAAGAAAACAAATCATTCCCTCCCCGTACTTAAGTATCTCCTTTCATCCGAAACCACGTGATTCTGGAATTGTGGGGAAGTTGTGCCCATAAACATCCCATCAAGATCCATTTAACATCTCATGGTCTTAATGAGCCCGCGCCACACAAGGCACCCAGGAAGGGTGGGGTCTTATAGAGAGAGGCACTACAGAGATGGTTTTCTGAGCTTCAGAACGAGGACAGTAGCTCTTTAGATGGTGAGCCACTGGGCACAGCCCAGGGAAGGGATGCGCCCAGTGGCGAGGACCCACTCCCTCCAGCTGAGCAGCGCAAGGGCGGTTCAAGATGGAGCCTCTGTTCTCTCTTTCCTTCCGGGACCCTTCAATGTGCAGCCTCTCCTATTCCCCACACCCTGCCAAGGAGGAAGTGCGAGGGCAGCCAGTGTGTGGCAGGTGATCTAATTACAGCCCTGGGTTTGCTGATCTAGGGGGTTAGGCCTTTTCATCCCATTGACTGTGATGTGATAGCTTGCCAGAAAACACCCCACTGCTATCCGCTTAGAAAGTTCCGCCCTTTGTGGAGACAACCCTATACTCCACTTGCTTTTCTATCTTCCCTTTGTTTTAAGTGGATTCTTGATTTTTTAAAAATGGTTTTATTATTGGTATAAACTAAAAGGTGGGCGTGGGGACTCAGGCCTGTAATCTCAGCCCTTGAGTCAGGAGAAGAGCAAATTCAAGATTACTCTTGGCTGCATACCAAATTTGAGGCCAGCATAGGTTACACAAAGCTCCTGTCTCGAAATCCCCAGCCCCCTAGAAAAGATTGACAGAATAAACAAATGATGTTCAGATAACAGTCTATAACACACACCACAGAGAGAACACACTGTCATACACTGAATGTGAGACTAAATCACACAAACTAGTGAAACACAATTTGGAGAGTCTGTTTTGTTTTTGAGACAAACTCCCTGTAGTCCAGGCTGACCTGAACTCGCTGTGTCTGCAGAACTCATAATCTCACCTGTGGAGTGCTGGGGTTATAGGAGCCTGAGTCACCACGCCCAGCCTCGAGATTTGTTTTTAAGTAAGTGTGTTGTGTAGTCTGTGTGGTTTACCAGTGAGAGCAGGTGCGTGGAGGCCAGAGGTGCTGGATCCACCTGGAGCCTGAGTCATAGGCAATTGGGAGCTGTCTGATATGTGTGTTGGGACTCCAACTCCAGCCATCTGCAAAAGTGACCCCTGAACCATCTCCCCGGCCCCTCAGTGTGGGCATTTTGTTTTGTTTGTTTCGAGACAGTGTCTCTATGTAGCCCTGGCTGTCTTGGAATTCACTGTGTAGACTAGTCTGGCCTTGAACTCAAAGAGATCCAGCCTGCCTCTGTCTTCCCAAGTGCTGGGACTAAACATAACATGAAAAGCATATGTAGTATTTTTGAATAAACAATTCCACATCTAAGATTTTTTTTGCTTTTAGTAGATGAATGGAAAAATTATGTGTCAAGAATATTTTCACGTGGCCTCTGGAGAAATAACTTAATCGGTGGAGTGTTAACCTGCCTTGCGGCACGTTTGAGATTTGATCTCAGGCTGAGCAAGGTATCTCTCCATAGAAAATAGCCTCCAAAAAGCCAGATCATTCATTAGAGATAGCATCTGGTCCCACTGCCAGTGGCCCCACTAACTGTCCAAGCCACCCACTGCCCCAGCATTCAGGGGGTTTAGATCAGCCCCCACAGCTGAGGACATTTGTGATGGACCCCAGCGTAGCTGTGAACCGGTCAGAAAGGAAATGGACCTGGGTGGATCATGTTGGGTAACTTCCTGTGATGTAACGCGTTGCCAGACTGCTAAAGTTGAGTGTGTCGAAATGGAAACCAGAAAACTAAGGCACAAGTCTTACCCCGAGAGAACGAGAAGTCCATCTGTGCCTCCTCAAATGGGTTCTGAGATTGGCTGACTTCTGCAGGCCTGGCTGGCAGAGCAGGCATCTCCTGATTGGTAGCCCCAGAGTAAACCCACCGTTTCAGTGAATTAAGGGGAAAACAACAAACAAGGGAACAAACACAGAAAATTCAGCCACCTGCAAATCGGTACAAGCTCTGTTTTCTACCTGCTCCTGGCCTGGCTAGAAAGTGGTGGCGGCAACACTTTAGTGGAGAGAGGTAACACCACCGGAGTCATCCCTTGAGTCGGATGTGACAGAGACAGGAGGGGCGTTCAGTAAGAGCAGGTGTATTCACCCTTCAGTTTAAGGCATGATACGTCTCTTGATTGCCTCCTCTACCCGGTTCTCTCTTACATTTGCGTAGAAATACCTCAAGAGAACTCTCTGTCCTTTCTGTTATCAATTCCTCTTGTTTTTTCCTCTAAAACTCCATTGATTCTTGGTGTTTGTTTATTTTGAAACAGGTTCTCCTACGTCCCAGGCCATCCTTGAACTCAGAGCTCTAATATTTGTCCTGCCTATACCTCCCAAGCTAAACACCACCGTGCGGGGGTCTGTGGTCTTGTGGGTGAAAGCCAGGGCTTCTGGAATGTGAGGGAAACACTCCAGCAATTGAGGTACACCTCCAGCCCGGACTCAGGGTTTCTGCTAACACATCTTGTCAAGGTAGCCGATGATGTTAACCTCGTCAAACGCAGTGAGCCTCTCAGAAATACTGAATACTGTCACTTACTTTAGAACACTGGCTTCTCCCCACTCCCAGGTGCCACATTCACTCAATGCCTGAGTTCACGGGGTTAGCAATTCCTCCCCAGGCCAGTGACTATTTGTATCTGCAGTACTGAGCCCTCTCTCCTAAGCTCCAACCTGTGCTGTTTCTCGGTTTTTCTGCTCGCACAGACTTGAGTGAACAGAGCTTCATTTTGGTTTCCCGTTGGAGCTGGCTCCTCCTCAGAGCTCCTCTCCCCCAGTTTGGTAAGGCTGCCCTTGGTGCTGCTTGGACAGAATGCTCTGAAGTCACCTCGGCTTTTTCTTTCACCATCTCTGTCGAAACCCTCAGGAAATCTGTTAGTTCTTGTCGCGGCTCAAGTATGAAGTGTTCTGAGCAGGCTCACGCACCCAGGACTTGGTCCGCAGCTGGTGGCATTCTCCCGGGAGGCTTTTGGAAAGTTGAACAGACAGGACATTGTTGGAGGAAGTAGGTCACTGGGGGACATGCACTTGTGGAAATAGCTGGCTTCCTTACTGTGCCTCTGTCCTCCCTCCAGCACCTGTGAGGTAGGCAGCTGTGCCCTTACCTGCTGTCCCATGACGCTCTGTGTCATCTCAAGCCCACAGCAATGGCCCCATGTGATCAGGGCAGGCATATCTGTAACCCTGAGCCAAAACAAATCTGTTCTTCAAACAGCTCTTAGCTACTTGTCACTGCAATGACCCACACACACACATGCACATACAACACACATGCAGACACAACACACACACACTTCTCTGCCTTCTAAATACAACCTGATTTAGTAGAGTAACAGGCTGTCAACAACCACCTGCGGTTCCCTAAGACTGCATAGCCTGATGGCCATGTAGGTGTTTAATCTGTGCAAACTTCACTTTGTAAAATGACACAATTGACTGACATTTCTCAGAATGTCTGCTCCACTGTCAGTGGTCCTTCCTCTGATACCATGGCGACCTCATGGACCATCCCCTTGTTGTGTAACACTTTGCTCCTAGATTGAAATACTCCAGCCTACGGGAAAGGGGAAAGCCCCTTAAACCAGAAGGTAAACACCCAAGACAGCTTCCTGAAAGCCCTGAAACTGACCAGATTCACCAGGCTCCTCCTTCCCAAAGCAAGCGGTGAAGATGGTTGAGTTGCTCTCTGACAAGCCCAGCTGCCTGGAAGAGGTGTAGAGCCACTGCAGCCCCTGGAAAGGACCCTCTGCAGCCCACTGAGCTGTCTGCAAGCTGTGCAGGGTATTCCAAGTTCCCAGCTTTGTAAGTGTCTGGGCTTGGGTGGCCTTTGGTGACCCAGCTGTCTCTGAGTCATTTCTGCTCTGATAAGAAACCTCTCTCTCCTACTCCTGTAAGGGAACCCAGTAAAACTCATTGGCTCTCCAATGTGGACTTGGCTGGTATCCTCACTGTGGTCTGCTCTCAGCCCTTCTCTGGGGTGAGTAGACATTTGTTCATGTCTCCCAGGGATATTGTCATGCAGCACCTGCCTCTCAGGCCTTTGGGCTCAGACTAGTAACACTGGATTCACCCGGGTCTTCTCCAGCCTGCAGATACTGCACAGGGCTTTTCAGTCTTCAATTCTCATAATAAACCCTCTCATGTTCATATCGAAATATTTCTATCATCTACCTAAATCTATTTGCCCATCTATTATCTATCATCACCCAATCTATCATGTATCTGGAGTCTATTGTGTCTAACTCTCTGGAGGACCCTAATGTAGGGAGTTAAGGATATGAGTCTAAACCACGAGAAAGGGCCTGGTGAGTTCCTTCCTGGGAATCTATAATAGCCTATAATAACCACCTGTATGATAGGATGACATAGGTATTTTTGACTTTCTGTCCTGACATACAATTCCTAAAGCTTTTGGAATCTTGAAAGTTGTGTATTGTTGCTGCTGTTGTCTTAAGTCCTTCTGTGCCAGTGTGAGCCGATGACTGGTCGTTCTTAAGTGGCTTTCCAAATGGGGACTGGTTGCCTGGAAGACCAAGTTAGAATCTGAGGGTTGGTACTGTGACCTTCACATCCCCTGACCTCTATGGAGTGAAGCTGAAGGTGATTTGACCACTAATGACCAGTGACTTACTACCAATGTGTAAATGAAGTCTTAAAATACTCTACAAAGAAACGTTCAGAGAGCATCCAGATCAAGGTGGCGTGCCTAGAGAGGTCTAGAAGTCTGATCCTGGACTCTCCTACACTGCCCCGTGAATCTCTTTATCTTTATTCTGTATGCTTTTCTCCACAATAAACCACTAAGCACATTTCTCTGAGAGCCATGGAGTCCTAGCAAATTAATCTTAATGACAGGATTGCAGGAGCCCCAGCTTGTAGCTTCTTACTGGCAAGTACAGG